TACTTACCAGAAACTGTTTTAGACGCTGGGGATGCAGAAGTGAAACAAAACAAAACAAAACTCACCACGGAGTTTATATTCTATTGAGGGAAGACAGGCAACATAGTCATTAACGATACACTAGAAAGTGATAAATGCTGTAGAAAAAAATGAATCAGGGTTATGAAGGATAGGGAATGTGTGGGTGGGAAGGATGCTTGCACTTTCACAGTCATTCAAATACCTGGTTGGCTTCAATGGTAATTTGAGTATAGGACTCTTTGTAATCCCAAACGACATTTACACTGTCACGTATGTTGCGCACAGCCTTTATAAAACTCTCAGCAAGTCGAAGACAGGAAGTGTGCCTCATTCATCTTCGAATTCCCAGAGTCGAGCAGTGTATTTATGGAAGGACACAGTGGCACGCGAAAAGTTACGAGTACCCACAGAGCCAGAGTTACTTCGACCACCTCTTTCCGGGGTGGTTATTCCGGTCGGCTTTGCAGTGGGTGCCGAGGAGGGTGCAAAAATCATAAGCGCCAGAGAGCACAACCAGGTCCCCTTCGCAGACTCTCAAAGCCATCTCTGTGGCGGTGGCTCCGTTTCCAGGGCAACGGGACCGTGCCGCGCACGCGGCCGCAGGCCCACGGCGGACAGGGACGAGACCCGCAGCCCATGAACAAACTAAATGAGTGAGAAGAACGCGGCCGTCAGAGCCGGTTGCCCAGCGCAAAAAATCCCGGGCGACCGCGCCCCCTGCAGCGAAGCCGCCAGCCTGCAGCTTCCGGACCTCCAGCGCCGCCTTCGTTCCAGGCTCAACAACTTCCGGCCCGGAAGGTCCCCGGCTCCGCGGCTTATCGGGGTCCTAGGGATGGAAAGGTGGCCATAGCGGCCGCCTGACTCCTGCGAGGACCTGGGACAAGAGTTGTCGCCTCCTCCAGGAGGGCGACGGCGACAAGGGAGCTGGGAGGATGCCCTTGGCCAGTAGGACCCCGTCCCGGGAGTGGAGTTGGGGGCGAAGCCCAGGTGCTGGGCGCGGACTGGGAGCCGGCCTGTCAGGCGGGAGACGGGCAGGTGCAGCGGCGGAAGTGCGGAGACGACGGCCGGAACCGAGCCGTCTAGGAAGCCGCCACACCGGGGAGCCCAGCGGGGAGCTGCTGCCCGGCCTCAACCAGACCGCAGCGACTAAGGCTCGGGAGCCGGCGAGATGCCTCTATTCACCGCCAACCCCTTCGAGCAAGACGTGGGTGAGTGCTGTGCCCGGCCTTGGACCGCTGTTTGTTTAACTACAAAGTGGGCGGTGGCTACTCGGGGGACTGGGAAACCAAGCCAAGGGAGGGAAGGGGCGGTGCCGCCGCCGTCGCGTCGTCGAGGTTTTTTTCTGGGGGTAATCTCAGTGCGTCGCTCGCAGCCTGGGGACTTGCCTCTTTCCTGCCTCGGGTTGACGACCTCCAAAGGGCTGCTCCCGTCACAAAGTGCAGGAATAGGGGGAGCCTGAGGCTCGCTAGAGACTGGACTAATGAAGTTTTTGCGGAGTTGATCAAACTTCCTGTTTTCTCTAGGACTGTTTATCCCCACCTCGCCTTTGAAGATGATGTAGAAGTGGAGACGCTGCTGTCTAAGGCAGCCCAACACTAGAGACCTCGACTTGCCCCCATTGAACAGGAAAAACTTATTTTCCGTTGCTTATATACACACGCATCCAAGTCTTGATAGCACAGTTTCAGGATTTATGTACAATTGTGAAGGTGTTAACTCCTCGCAGGTGCTACGGGATGTTTTTAGAGTGGAAAAGGAAAACTCTGGAATCTCAAAACAGTCCAGAACAACTAATGTTTTATTTGTTGGGATCGTAAGAGCACTAGTCTCTCAGTTGACTACAGAGTGAGAATACGATGAACGGGATATAAACTTCTTACGGTCAC